GGGCGGCCGTGCAGCAGCTGCAGGCCGAGGGCCTGAGCCCGCGCTTCCAGCAGCTGGACATCGACGACCTGCAGAGCATCCGCGCCCTGCGCGACTTCCTGCGCAAGGAGTACGGGGGCCTGGACGTGCTGGTCAACAACGCGGGCATTGCCTTAAAGGGTAAAAGGATGTGTGGTCCCAGGAGGGCTCACCCCAGCACCTGCAGCCAGGGTGGCTGGTATGTCGGAGTATCGTTACAATGGGGCTCCTCGCGTGTATGGGTGCAGGATTGCTCCCGAGGGAAGTAGGAGAGGCTGGGGGTAGGGGTGCCACTAGATCAAACTGCAAGAGAAGCTGGAGAGCCTTCTGGCCCAGACACCTTTGTGTTCTTGGCCCAGATGCCTGCGAGTCTTTTCTAGGTTGTCACAGTTTCTCCTGGTTTAACCTTGAGGGCAACGGGGTGAATTTTGCACAAACAAGTTCACAGAGACCCCATAGTGCACCCTTCACCAGCCTCCGGGAATGGCACCATCTCAGACACTATGTTGGGAACATCAGTATAGAACATCAGGAAACAAGGAAATGGTGATTGCACAGTGCTATTACTAGGAACCAATTATACAAAAAATTCACATTTTATGTCATTCTATGGAAAGTTACCACATGGCTACTATTTATTAAGTCTACTCTCCTCTCCTGAAAGGGAATGATCCCACACCGTTTCATATTCAAGCAGAAGTGACGATGAAAACAAACTTTTTTGGTACCCGAGACGTCTGCTCGGAGCTGCTGCCTCTCATGAAACCCCAAGGTGAGTCTAGGAGCCCTGGCTGCCTTGTTTGTGGCAGCATCCAGTCCTGCCCTCCCCTGGTGTCATCTCCAGGCCCCTCCCTGCTCTTGCTCCTGCTCCCTGCTCAGCGGCACTGCCCCCTGGTGTCTCACCAGGCCAGCTGCCCTTCAGCCTCAGGACTGGGCTATGTTTGCTGTCTGTCCCCCTGTGCTGGTTCCAGCAAGTGCGCACTGTGCGCTGTGCAGTCGCACTCAGAGGCGCTCGGAACCTCACGGGAGCCCTGGTCGCAGCGGTGGACGTCCACGGCCAACTCTGCTCTCCACGCAAGTGCTTCTCGAGCCTCCTGCCCGGCCATGTCGTCCTGCAGCCGCGTGGCGCTCGGCTTGGGCTGAACTTACATCACAGGAAGGGCCAGACCCGGAATGGGGGCCTTAGTAAACCTGGAACATTCAGCCCCCCCCGCCGCGTGGCGCTCGTGACCGGGGCCAACAAGGGCATCGGCTTCACCATCACGCGGAATCTGTGCCGCCAGTTCTCGGGCACAGACCTGGAGCACAGAACTCAGTTGGTGCTGCTTCTCAGATTGTCTGGGACACCACAGAGCGGGACAACACCTCCTAACCCCTGTGACCCACAGCGCTGTCTGCTCTCTGGTCAAGTGCCCCCAGGACCCCTGCCAGCCATGGCGTCTTAACACCTGTGGCCCTGGAGACTGTGGCCAGTAAGGGCACCCGCTTCGCCATCACACCGGACCTGTGCAGGCGGTTCTTGGGGAAGCGGCGCTCACTGCACGGGACTCAGTGCGGGGTTGGGCAGCTGTGTGGCAACTGCACAGGCCGAGGGCTAGGGCCCTGCTTCCACCATCTGGACATCCATGACCTGTAGAGCGTCTACATGGTTCCTGTGAAAGGAGTGTGGGGGTCACTGCGAGGTGAAGACCAGCCAGGGATGAGCCCGGAGCTTTGCTTTCACACACTTCGGGGACAAATCAACACTCACGTGAGTCCTTGTCGCGTTCTCTCAGCTTATTCCACAATTCCAGTCCCAAAGACTTGTTTTTGGGGCTGCATTTTTTAAAACACCAGGGGAAAACCCACGGAGAACCAAGGCTGAGGGCTCAGTTTAAAGGCAGTCAGACGACCAATCAAAATGATTCTCTGATGACAGACGTCGGCAGCAGCCAAAGGCCTTCGTCTTGGGCCCGCCCATCTGTAAACCTGCCAGGTGGCTCTGGTTCGCATTCCCAGCACCTTGGG